TCATATTTTATTGCTGGTTGTCCATGATCTAGGTCTACCATTTATATTGATCTCGTCAGCCTTAAAAGATAATACTGAAGGTTAGATGAAATGTACGTTGGTGCTCGGCAAGTGTGGTCGGGTGCTAGTCATGGCCCTTCAGTTTGGGTCGTGACATAAGATGTGTGGGAAAATTTGAGTATTATGTATAGTGGTTCATAAAATGAATTGAGATAGTTTCTGAGGGGTATTTTCATGCAACCTATTTAAGTTTACATCCCTTAAGTTGATGCCTAAGTGTTGCCAAAGCATTTGGGTATGGTGGCATTGGAAGAAAAGATGGCTTATAGATTCCTCATGGGAGTGGTAGATGGGGCAGTGTGCATGTTAGGCGATATGGAGGTGGTTGGATGTGCGTAGGCGATGATGGCTCATAAACCATAAAAAAATATTTTATTTTTTAGGGTAATTGGAGTTTCCGTAGCCATTGGAAGGAGTTGTTTTGTACATAAGAATGTAATGTTTGATAAAGAGATTTGACCGTGAAGATTCCACTAGGGGTGAGACCCCAGTAGCTATCGTCATGTGTATTAGGGTTTGTGATGGTAAGAATATAATAATTAGCAATTAAATCCTTTAGAGGGGTTGGGAGATCAAAGGAGATTTTTTGGAAACTTATGGAATTTCACGTTATATATAGGGATAGTGGTGAAGATTAAACATTTTGGGGTAAGGGATCTTCAATAATTTTCCTTAGAATTAAATTAGTGTCTAACGAAGGAACATCCCTGAAGCTTATGTGTCTTCCATTATTGGGGTGTCATTTGATGCCAAGTTGACATGAAGACCACCCATGTGTGATAACTTTCCAGTTGGAGGATACAGTTTTGGAGGTAGTAGTTCGTAAGTATTTTGAAAGGAGTATTTTAGCCCAGTGTGAGGAAGAAAACTGAAACAGTCTCCAAGATGAGGATCCCAATAGAGCATTATTTTTATCTTTGAGGTTATGTATACCCAACCCACCATTTTGCTTAGTTAATTGGGTTGTTTCCCATTTAATTACATGTAACTTGCGTTTCCGTAGTGTGGTACCCCATAAAAATTTTCGTTGATATCTTTCTAATTTGGTAATGACATTAGGAGGTATTTTGATTAATTGCATCATATGGTTAGACAAATAATTAAGAGTAGCTTTGATTAAAGTAGTTCGTCCTACCATTGTTAGAAAATTTATTTTTCACCCTGCTAATTTATTTTTAAAATTATTGATTAGGAACGGAAAATTGGATGTAGTAGTTTTTGTGTTGAAAATAGGGTATCCAAGATATTTGCCGAAAGTTAAGCACTCATTCATATGGAAAACAGTGGTCACACTTTCTCTGGCTTTCTTGGATGTATTCTTGGAGAAGAATATTTTTGATATTGTGTAGTTAATAGTTAACCCTGACACTCTAGTAAATAGGTTTAGTGTATAAATAATGGAGTTGATGCTCTTGGTGGTCAATTTAGAGGTTAAGATAATATCATCGACGAAGAGTAGATGAGATAATGGTAGACTATGTCTAGATAATTTTATAGGGTGCCACTTAAGGTAGTCTACATCAATATGAATTTTCCTGGAGAGCATTTATGTAGAGTATGAAAACTTAAGGAGATAGGGGGTTTCCTTGACGAATGCCTCTTGAAGGTGAGAAAAAAGGAGTTGGTTGGCCATTAATTAAAGTGGATATTGAAGAAGTGGTAATGCAAGACATTATTAGCTTTATAAACTAAGGTGGGAATTGGAAATAGTAAAGTGTGTCATGGATAAAGCCTTATTCAAGCTTATCAAAGGCTTTATCTAAGTCTAATTTTAGTAAAAAAGAGGCCATGGCCCTTTTTTTTTTTCCTAAAGTGGTGCATAATCTCTTACACTATAATGACATTGTCAGTGGCTCGTCGATGGGGTAAAAAGGTTGATTGCTCACGGCTAATAATATTGATTAGGAAGGGTTGCGTTTGACTATTAATTTTATAATTAATTTATAAATGATGTTACAAAGACTAATTGATCGGTATTGAGTGATTAATGTAGGTTGTTGTGTTTTAGGTATAAGAGATAAATAGGTTTTGTTAATTTTTGAAGGAATGTGATGTGTGGTAAAGACCTCCTCGCAAAATGATATGATTTGGGATTTCACTTGAGGGCAGTAATGCTGAAAAAAATAAGGATGTAAACCATCCAGCCCCGGTGCTTTAAAAGGTTGGAAAGACTTAAAGGTTTCAATGATTTCTATGTGTGTGTAATTGGGGATTCCAATATTGAGTAAGCATTTGTGTTGGTGGAGTTTGGGTTGGAGTTATGGAATGTGTGGTGGGGGTGACTAGTAGTGAATAGTGTATGGTAATATTCTTGGATTGAATCATTTATTTCTTTTTGGTCTAATATCTAGTTACCGATGGAGTCTTTTAGTACCGTAGACGCTTTTGTAGTGTAGTTAAATGAAAAAAAATTGTGTTGACATCATCATGTTGTAGCCAATTTATCCTGAATTTTAATTTCCAAAACTCTTCTTCGAGTTATAGAATAACATTAAATTGAGTAATTAGATCCTTTTCTAAATTTTGTAGGAACTGGCTAGTTGTATATTTGGGTGAACTTTGTATCCCTTGTAATCTTGCTAGAAGGCTTTTTTTTCTTTCTGAAATATGTTATCAAAGGTGGTCCTATTCCATTCCTGAATGTAAATTTGAAAATCTTTTATGGCTTGAAGGGTATATTTATTGGAGTCCAATATTGGACAATTATGGAAGGAAATTAAGGATGGGTTGTCCAAATGGTTTCAAACCGAAAGAACAGTACTATTGCTTAACAGAAACCCGACCTCCACTTTAGTACTACTCTTGTACAATGCTAAATTTTTCTTGACATACATTCAAAAATTTAAACTTGTATCTTATTGAAATTTAATATGTAGAGAAGTATGCTGTCTTTATTTCCGATTCCATATAGGAGATGTGGGCATGTGGCTAAAGAGAGGAATTCAGGATATGAATTTTATGAGTTCAAGTATGAAATTTTACCACAATTCGTATGATTAATTGGGTTCAATTTTTTTTTCTTACACTAATTAAATGAACTTTTAAACACGTATACAAAATTAGGATTAAAATTACTAGATTTAGACAAATGCATAACTAATACACTAGGTCTACCCCTCGCGGAGAGAAAACGAAAAAGAGAAGCCGAGGGCATGAAATAAAGTGCTCCTTCTCTATCCCAAAATGGCTTAAGAATTATAGCTTGAATTTCAAAATAAGACTATTTTGTTTAATTTTTAGGAATATATTATTCTGTCAGTTTTGTCATTTTTCAGATAATTTTGGAATATCATATTTATTAGTATGATTTAAGTTTACAAAATTGTCAACGCGACATTTCATAATTAAAAAATACTCGATTAGTGCTTCCTCATGTCTATTTTATGCGCCAAGGTTCAGAATATGTTTGTCAAATTACTTAATTTTCGATATTAATTTTGTCAAAGATTCTTCAAAGAAATTTAAATAAAAAAATAATATATGTATGTGTGTGTGAAACTATACATATAATCAGGGGCGGAGCTAGAAGCCAAAGTAAAAGTCGGCCGAACACAGTAACTTTTGTCCAAACTCTATACGTATTAAGAAATTAACTTTAAATATGTACAAAATAAAATTCAGAACATAGTTATTAACAACTTATGTCGCTGTCGTAGAATTTAGAACCCATAAAGTTCAAATCCTGACTCCGCCTCTACATATAATTATAAATTATACTAATAATTAACCGTAAAATATTTAAGACAATTATAGTAATTTGACTCTTTAAATAGAAATGATATTACATAAATTGGAACAACAAAAGAGTAATTACGATGAATTTAGTAAATTCAACAGTAAAACAGCAGCCCCATTTTCCAGAGTCGGACTCCTGCTACTTATAGGGAGCTTGTTATTCCTATTTCGTTATTTCCTCTCTTTTTCTCCCTCTTTCTCTGCTTCTTACACTGTTTTCTTCACTCCATGTTGAGTCTTCATCTCTCTTCTCTGCTTCTTCTTATTTACTATGACCCCTGACATTTTCTTAGCACTGATCACAAGCTTGTTATACTAACAATTGACAAACTTTTAACTTAATTCAAGAACCCCATTTTCTTTATTTCATTCTCCTCTCCACTTACTAAAAAAGAAGGAAGTGTGGAGGTTGCAAGAGTTTATGAAGGTTCTAACATGAATAGCTTTATACTTCCAAATGAAAGTTTTCCCCTACCTTCTAAGGTTCTTGATTCTCTCTGGATTTCCAATTCCTCTCCCACTTTTCATGGTAATAATCTTCTTCACCCTGCTAAAAATGTAGACTAGTATTTATTTTACTTTTTCTTGTATGTTTATAGTTCGTGACTTTTGTTTTTGGTTGGATGGTGAGTTGACCCCTTTGATGATTATTAGATTATAGCCTATGGTCATTTGATCACAGAGAACAATGATGATATAATTTTTTAATTAATTTAGTTTATGTTCAAATTTGCGACCTTGTTCTTGTGGTCCTCTCTATTTATCCAGAAAGAGATCAAATTTTGCACAATTTTTGCTCCTTTTTTGGTGTTTGTTAATAGTTCAGTATTTTGAAGTAGGAAAAGGTCTTATTTAGCAGTAGAAACATTATGGTTCAATTCATTAGAATAAAACGTTCTCAACATATATTTGTGTGAATTTGAACATTTGTGAACTTATTCTCTCTTGGTTGCTCTGTTTCAGGCTCTGTATCCATGGTTAATTTCGACGATACCCGAGGAACAAAGACTAAAGAGAGGTCATTCTTCCCTTCACTTGACAAGGAAGAAAATACCAACGAGGATTATGAAGTATCCTTTCACCAGCCCGAAAAGAAAAGGCGACTATTGCCAAAACAAGTTCAGTTTCTTGAGAAAAGTTTTGAGGTAGAAAACAAGCTTGAACCAGAGAGAAAAATCCAATTGGCTAAAGAAACTGGATTGCAGCCTAGGCAGGTTGCTATTTGGTTTCAAAACCGACGAGCCCGGTACAAGAGTAAACAACTTGAGAAGGATTATGATGTGCTAAAAGCTAGTTTTGATAAACTCAAGGATGAATATGATAGCCTCTTCAAAGAGAATGACAACTTGAGAAATGAGGTACTTTATACCTCCTCTCATTTAACATTATTCGAGTATTTCAAGATAATTTTATTTTTAGCAAGTCTCTGGAATGTCGAGAATTATAGTTTTTTTTTATGGACGAATCAGAGCGATAAAGGATTGAATTTCATTCAATCAATGATAGCAAGGCCACTCTATCACTCGCAATAACTCGTCGTGCATTTAAGTTATCTGCCAAGGATTCTATCCGCCGTTCGATAGAACATGTGTTGAGAATTGTAGTTAAAAGTCCTGATTGGTATTAGAAGTATCTCTAATCTAACTCATATTTCCTTTTTTGTTCAATAGGTTCATTTACTTAAAGAGAAGTTGTTCAACAGAGAGCAAAATTCAGAAGAAAAGGAACCCATTAGTCCACTTAATACAGAAGCTCAGAATCCAACTAATAATATGCAGAATTTAACAATGATGGTCTGCAAACAAGAAGATGCAAGTTCAGCAAAAAGTGATATTCTTGATTCAGACAGCCCATGTTATGCTGATGGGAATTATACTTCTTTTTTGGAGCCTTCTGATTCTTCACATGCATTTGAAACAGAAACATCTGATTTTTCTCAAGAAGATGACAGCCTAAGCAGGACCTTGTTGTCCTCACTATGCTTCCCAAAGCTTGAAGATGACCTACCAGTAAATTCTTGCCATTTGAGTTTTCAAATTGAGGATCAGTCTTGGTTCTGCCATTATTAATTTTTCTTGTTCAACATTGGCTCCATTCTAAGTTATTTTCACTTTCTACTTTTTAAACTTCTGCAATAATAATAATAATAATAATAATAATAATAATAATAATAATAATAATATTAATCTGTATATAGATTCATTAGGAGTTTAGGACAACATGTAAGATCTTTGTTTCTTCCAAAATGTTCTAATTGGCTCTTTCTTTAGCTCAAAAAGAAATGGTACTATTGAGGTGAATTCAGTATTTTTAAGTTAAAACACCCAAAGTATCATTTGGTCTTATTCAGTTAACTTGTACCATCAGGAATTCCCTTCTGGCATATATGAAGTTTTATTGTGTGGCTCGTCCCACTGACATTAGTTGTGTGAGGCTCCTTTTTGTCTCACAAATTTGTGGATCCCAATTTTATACTTTTGGATTCACAAAAATCTGGGTCCACAAAACTATGAGACAAAAAAAATATCTCATATAACTAGTGTTAGTTGTATGAGATACAAAATAAAATTTTCCCAACAAAAACAATATAGGGAGATTACCTATGTGCTGCTTCCGAAAACAGTGAGCACTGAAAAAAGCTTGTGCAGTCTGTCATTTACTCAATCGAAATTTAGTGAAACAAACGCTTTATTTTTAACTTCTAAAAGGCACACTAACAAACAAGAAACTGCACATCAATCCCAAGCAAGTTGGGTCCACAATATGAATAGTTACTGCTCATATCTAGAGCCGTCAATATAGGCTTGGCCTGTTGGGCTAGCCCAGCCCAACCCGTGATTTAACAGGGTTGGGCTAGAATTTTTGGAGCCCGTTTAAAAATGAGGCTTTTAAGTCCGGTCCGAGTAAGTCCGTGGCCCATAAGGCTTGACTGAGGCTGGGTTGGGCCGGTCCGTGGGCCTAATAAAATATTTATTTAAAATATATAAAAAATAAAAAGTATACTGCCTCTAGAGATGGAAAGTCAGAATTGGATATTTACTAAGAGGAACCAAAACTTGATCTTGAGAAGCTTCAAGAGATGGATGTTGTCATGTATTGGAAGGATCATTCTAGAAAATATCCCGATCTTTCAATGATGGTGCGTGATGTACTTAGTATTTCTATTACCATTGTAGCATCAGAATCAACATTTAGCATTGGTGGCGTGTTCTTACAAAGTACAGAAGTTGCATTTATTATGAAAATGTCCAAACACTTGTTACTACTCGAAATTGGCTGCACACCTTTTCCCAAACTCAAACTGGTAATATTTTTTAAATATTATTAATTTTTAAAATTTAATTATTCTTAATATTTAACTAATTAATATTGCATATGAATTGTAGATGTAGATAAAAGTGAAGATGTTAAGACAACCTTGTCACAAACAGATTCAAATGTGTTTGATGAAGATGATGTATTGGATATCTCATAAGCATCATGAACGCTCTCTTGAATAGTTTGTTTTGAGTTTTGACTTTTAGTGAATGAAATATATTCTTGTCTTTTACTTTTTTTATTGTTTATTGTGATATATTCGAACAATGTAAAAAGTTATTAAGTTTTGCGAATTTTTTTCAATAAGATATTTTTTAACTGTTAAATAATTATCTTTTTTTAGGTAAGAACTTAAAGAAAAAAATATAAAATTATATTTTTTAAAATGATGGCCCGCCCCTGGGGGCCCGCGGCCCGCATAGGGCTGGAGTGGGCTGACCATTATAAGGCCCATCAAAATGGTGGGCTAGCCCAGCCCAGCCCGTCAATTACTAAAGCCTATATGGGCTGGGCTGGGCTAGCCTGGCTCGGCCCATATTGACAGCTCTACTCATATCACTCCATTTATGTATGCGTCGATCAATATTACTCCAAAAAGACTCATCACAAATATTGGACCTAAAATAAACGTACTACTCCCTCCGTTCCAATTTATGTGAACATGTTTGATTGGGCACGGAGTTTAAGAAAAAAATGAAGACTTTTGGAATTTGTGGTCCTAAACAAGTTCAAATGGGACCCAGAGTATTTGTGTGGTTATAAAAGCTTCTCAATAAGGGTAGAGTTGTAAATTTAAGCTAAATTGTTACCAAATTTAGAAAGGGTTCATTCTTTTTGGAACAGATCAAAAAGGAAATAGGTTCACATAAACTGGAATAGAGGGAGTAGTATTTACCCGTAAAACGGTACAGTTAAATTTGTTATATGGTTTATAGACAAGCTAACTGATTTGATCCAAAGATGATAAAGAAATAAGACTAAAAATAAGATTTAGCACTTGAAATTGAAGAAGATGACAAGTCTGGCTCCGAGCGCAATGTCTCCGAGGACAAAAGTGAAAGCAATGATAAAGAATAAGTAAAGTTATTTAATTGAGAGCAAAAGTAAAATACAGCATATGTTTGCAAAGAATTTCGATTGTTACAATGACTGCTAAGCTACTATTTATAGTTTTACCTACGGAAACAAGATCCTAGGATCAAACTCCTCTTAAATGATAATAAAAGATCCATTGATGAGCATGTAATGACAGGCCATGAATGCAAATATTTTTTGTAACGGTTGCTCATTTAATGTTAGAGAATATTCCCGATTGAATGCTATCCGATGACAAATACTTGATCTTCTCCCATTGACCATGCTCCTCTCGGGATTTATTCGATGTCAGTTGAATTTGTTGTATCCGGTATTGGTCGTTACTTGACTTGATTTTTACCTATCTTCGGTTTTACGTGTCATGCTACCATTTGACCATTTATTATGAACCACTTTTACCCTATATAGATAGTCCCCCTGCTTTCCAGTGACATATTTTTGTGTTATTGGGAAGTTGGTGAAGGTTCTTTTTTTGGAGGGAAAGTTCATGAACAATCTCTAGCGCTTGAAAGGACGCACGTCTTCTCACATTTAATAGCTCGAACACGTGTAGCACCACGATTCAACAAATTTTTTTTCCGGTTTTCGAGGTAATCATGACCACGATTTTTGTCGTCTATTACTTCACTTCTACTCATTATTTTACTTCTTTACTTCCAAAATTTTCAGAAGTCTTTTCTTCTTCTCTACACTCACTCTGCATCTGCATAGAAAATTTTCCATCTTCTCCAACTCTCTTAGAAACAAGTTTTACAGACCCTTTATTACCATGGCTTCTTTCAATGCACTCTATGAAAAGTCTGGTCTTCTCTTCGGTGGAGGCAAAAAGGAAAACATGGACAAAGAAGCTGATGTTGATACTGAACCTCTCACTATAAGCACCATCATACCAAAACATCTCAGTACTACTAATGACTTCCAAGAGAAGGCCACTTCTATGTCTTCACGGACTTAGGCTGTTAGTAGGTATCCCTCCTCCATTCTTCCTTCTAGTATCCCCACAGTGAAGGACTACAACTGCCACAATCTTGAAATCCTTGCCCTGGATATGATAGAACTTGTTACCTTCACCAAGAAGGGTTTTACGTATGTCTATAAACATTCGTTTACCTTAGGTCCATTCTCCCTAGGGTCGAATGTAGGGCTCAACCCCATTATTTTAGAGTTTTGCCATCGGTACCAGGTCTGCTTAGCACAAGTAGGCCCATCGATATGATGATCAGTGTCTTTCCTTCGCCAACTATGCACGGAAAACAGGGAAATCTTAACCCTTGCACACATGATGAATCTTTACTCTCACTCGTGGTGAGTAATAAACTTCAGCAAAAGTGGCCACCATGCTATTCTTACCAGCGTAGATGATGACAATTATTGCAGGTGGATGGAGCGCTTTGTCAACATCGTTACCAGGGATGTCATCCCGGCGACAACTCCATCTTTTCATGAGTTATGGAATCATTTTCTTAAGTTTTCGAAAAGATTACTTTCGTGAAAAGATTGTTTTCCGTTGTTGCTGATCTTCTTGTTTTTTTGTTCCAGCTGCCTGATGGGAACCACCACGGATTCAAGGCCTGGACCAGTGGGTTTAGAAAATTCTGGAAATCACAACACCAGAATTCCGTCAATGGAAGGAAATGACCCTCAAATACGGGTAGAAGGCCAAAAACCATGATAAACTGAGTCCTTTCTTTTATCTTTGTACGAACATAGGTAACTTCATGAAAGAGTTTCTAATTCTGTTGTTTACTTGATTCAGGACTTCTGCAGGGTTCTGTCACCTGTCCAGAGGTCGACATTTTAGCTGACCCCGAAGAGGCTAGGAGGGTGCTATAAAATGCCCCTTGCTCGAAGAAGTGCTCGCAGATCTGCTTCTAGTAAGGGTGCCTCCTCTCGGAGTCCCCAGCCCGAGAACAAGCAACCAAAAGGCGATGTTCTTCCTCGTCTAGGACTCAAAATAATAAATAAGGAAAATAACGACCGAGCCAGCCATAGTGGGTGTTGTGGATGAGGGGGAAGTGGCTCCCTTTTCCCATCAAAGGAGAAAAATATCTTCATCAGCTCAACCAAATGCTCAACCGGGAGAGCTTCAAGACCCGAACGCAGAAGTAACCCAAGCACTTTGGGGCGAGATTGACCTAGTGGATAATGTTGATTCTCGCTTTCCAATCCCTATTGTTGCCTCCGGTCCAAGGAGATCGAACCCTAGACCTCTTCTGCCTTCGACCATTGTGCAAATAATAATCAACAATGCGCTGTCACAGTTACTTCTCATCCTTCCACACCAACAACTTCATGCCTATCGATACCAGCTGCTCCTTCATCACCAGCACTAACTGCATTTCCTCCACCGACAACAAACGATCGAGAAAGGGGTGTTTCTACTCCTCAATCTCCCGGCCATGGGAATTTGGGGCACAATTATTCACCCTTTCCCCAGATCCTCGAGGGAGGAAAAATGCTACTCTTTCGATTTCGAAGGAGTGCCATCTTTTGTCCAAGCCGGTAGAGCTTGCGAAATATCTAGTCATTGGCTTTGAAAAAAGATTGGAAGAAAATGCGCTCTTATTCAGGAAAATGTTTGTTAAACAATGCCTTGCACGGCACGACTTCGGTACCGTGCTTGTTTTCTTATAACTTCTTTTAAATTTACCTACTATAATGGAAATCCTAACTTTGACATTCTCTTTTATAGGACAACTTTATCGCTTCCAAA